ATTAGCTTCGAGTGGCAAGGGCTTACCGAGAGCGAGATGGTAAATTGGCTCTAATTTGTGCACGAAGATACTGTTCGACTTATTGCCCTCATAAATTTTCAACAATACATGATCGTATGAGTTCCTGGATCTAATAAAATCGCGACTGTACGATTCTCATTCCGTGTTCAAAACGAATGGTGTCGTTGATGTTGAACGACAGAAAGTAAAATCAAAGCAGCGACCGCGAACGGATCTCTGCACGCGAAACATCGGACGCAGCGCGGCGCGGGCGCGTAGCGTTCCTCGGTTGGCGTATCTCTTGTCCGAAAGCCGTGACGTTTATGGGCCCATATGGTGGTCGCACGAAGCAGGCTGATCGGTTCATAAAGCATCCGACCGCGATTCTCTGGTAGTCACAAATCAACCCAACTGGATCGTTTGGGCCCAGTGTTTCAGCGGTCTGTGGTGCATACCCAGGCTATATCTGTCGGAATGTACCTATGGTCTCGCGCTACTTCCACCAAGACAAACGAAACGTTTCACGGATAGATACGAGTGAACCGTGAACCAGAGACAACACCGGACCTTCGTCTTCTTCGTGGTCTCTCGTAACCGACGAGCCACAGTGTGATACACGTAAAGCGACGCCCTTAAATCACTATGGGCCCGAACGCCACATCCTTCCTTCCCTCTCCCTCTCCCAGAACCTACACCCGCCCTAGACCCTTCCTCTCTTCCTTACCATTCGACACGAGGAAGGTTCACCACGTTGGCCCGAGGGCCCCGGGCCCGAAAGAAAGATGGATTTATAAGGATCCTACTGCAGGCCAGGATTTCATTCGAGAATTCCACCGAATTCGACTTCGGTGACTTACGTCCCGCGTGTCTTATGTTTATCGACTACCGATTATTTTCGACCCCTCCTGCTCGCGTTCGTCGCAGCAGTGCAATCGACGCGATGGGATATACCAATCTCCGATCGGATAAACTCGAGCGAATCATCCGGTATGTTTTTCATTTAAAAGAATGCCAATGGTTTCATGAGTATCGACGTGGGCTATGCACACGGTGAAAGATGTAATCGCCGAGAACGGGCGAGATCGATACGATATGGAGCAAATATGACGGCGCGTTAACTGGGAATGCCGGGAGGAAGATTTTCCGATGACATCCCCCTTGGGAGCAGCAAATGCCTCCGCGTCCCCTCTGTGTTCTTTATCGCCGTCCCGGAATGCTTGATAACGTTTGATTTGTTTCAATCGTAAATATCAAGACCACGCAATATGGCTATGGCTCTCTCTCCATCCTCGGGGTTCGAGGGTCCGTGGCGCGTAGGTGGTGTCGATGCAGCCTCGCATCCCGAAGCATACGTGCCGGCATTCACCGGTCCTCTCTGTGCATCCTACCGGCTGCAATAATTGCGTCGCGCGTTACCGTCAGAATGATTATTAAACGGTGCGGCGCGGCGCGGTGCCACGCCGCAAACCAACCGGTTCTCGACGTTATCGAGCAACTTCCTTCGCTCGTGCACGAATCTACGATTACCGGTCAATTTATTCGGTTCGGTTGCAATAAGAAAAGCGATGAAAAGTTTCATCGCCGCAGTACGTCACGGGTACGCGGCCTTAAATCCCCCGAGAAACGACTCGCTGCCTCGGAAACGAGTCGACGACCAAGGGACGGGGAGCCGCGGACTTGCTGTACACGCACGGATGCGCGCATCGTGGTTTTTCAATCGGGTTTCGGCGTATCCTTTAATTCGTCGCTCCAGGGTAACACCCCCTTCCTTCCTTCCTTCCTTCCTTCTCTTGACCAGTCGCGCCCGATCGTGTGCACGCGCGAACCTACACGTATACATACGCACACGCGGACGAGCCACGTTTCTGCATTTGCATTCTCGACGCAAGAGGTGCGCGCACGCCGCCAAGACAGGAGGCATCGAATGTTTAATTCAAGATACGTGAGAGTGCTGAGCGGGAAAAAGACAGAGAGATAGAGCATGAGAGACAGAGAAGACAGAGCGAGCGAGAGAGATGAGAGAGATCGCGGAAGAATGAAACCAGTGCACCGACGAAGATAGCTAAAGTCCGTAGCAGACATAAGGAGAAAGGGAGTAGAGGTAGAGATACAGAAGTTGCGTGCGTATAACCGAGCTCTGGAGAGAGAACAAGAAGGAGAAAGAGAGAGAGAGAATACCGAAAGCGTAGGGTAGCAATTGATGGGACAGGGTGGCGCGTTTGTTGAGCTAATTACTGTAAGGCGAGGCGCTTACGCGCGCCGCTACATACAAACGGCATTAAAGGTGGTGGCCATCAATCCCCGTGGGACCCCTTTTCCAGTCCTGGCAACTCGCCTCCTCCTATCCTCTGCCGTCTTCCCAAAGCGGCATCTCTCTGTCTCCGAATGCGTTCTTCTCACAAGCCACGCGGCCCTTCCACGCGATACGCGTTCTCCGGTATTAATTGGTGCCGATCCTCCGACTTGACGATCGGTTCGGAAATATCGCAGACACGAAAAAGGGGAAGGAAGATTTCTGACATCTCGGATTCCGTTCGGAGCGCGGGTGCCAAAGCGCGACGACCGCTAAATTTACGAATAAGATGCGTCAACATGCATTTGTATGTGTATGCGAGAGTCTTGGTACAACCATGTGACGCGACATAAATAATCGTAGCCGATAATTAAGATGGCGTTTCGGCGCTTGTGCGTGTACGGGCCGACACCCGCTGTCTTCTCGCAACGTGGCACCGAGCTCACGCGTGTAGACACGCGAGCCCGTGTCCGAGCCATCGAGGGAAAATATATCGTCCGCCCTCGGCCCATTCTGCCTCTCGATCCTCCGTTCTGGCTGTTCGCTGTTCGCGGATGGAATGCCAGCGATTCTCGCGAACTTCGGGACACCGAATATCGTAATGGCTAAGGGTTCTCTCGGGTTCGTTCCTTAAGGAACGGTAAGAAAAAAAGTGGAAGGTGACGAGGTGGATGGAAGTGGGAGAAAAGAAGGGGAGAAGCGAAGTGGGTCCGAACCACCGACCTACCGTATGCGAGAGAGACTCCGCTGTCACGGTAGAAAGTATTGCGTGGATTCATCTGGATAAACCTTGGTACGATCAATCACCTCGCGATTAACCGAACTGCCTACGAAATTGAACTCGAACGGCGTAATTTATAGTGCTTTTTCTGGACAAGATAAAACGTCGCAGTCGGTGACACGACGCGTTCTACGCCGACCTCTAAAAAATCTTTCTTCCTCTCGCGAAGACTTCTGATTGGATGTCATCGAACTGACTGACAAGGTTGAAGATGCAGATCATTCGAATAATTATCACGTCCATAAACCAGGGTTACGGTTAACTCTTTAACCGCTGAACATTATTAACTGTTTTAAATAAATGACGCGGTGGTGCGGTATCGAGGGGGAGAAACCTGGCTGCCAGTGACATAAGTTGCCGGGTGTAATTAGGGGAATAAAGTCCGCGGAATTTCGCGAGCCACGGCTGCCCCGGCTACGATCGTAAAGAGGACGAGTGTTCTAGCGTAACCCGAGGCTCGCAGACTCGTTGCTACGAAGGGGCTGCTGCAGAAACGACAAGGACGCGTCGGGGAATGAAGGTGGGGGGCGTCTCGGTGCCGACGTCGTCGTGCCAACCCCACGGGGCGCCAGGCTCGTTATATCTTCATTAAGCGATGTACCTAACCATCCTGTCGCGACTTCTTAGCACTCTACAGTTCACACTAATTTCGCGTTACTTTTTCTTTCTACGTATCGGTTGTCTTGTTCCCGGTGGTAAACTTAGCGATAAAAATCGTCAAAGGACGAGCATGCAAACCAGTATGTGTCCGTTCGGATTCGCAGTTCGGTACCTAACACCGATCTTTTGTCTCGTCGTTCGAGACACGAGAAAAACGTTGAATCCACAATCAGAATTTTTGTTCGTCGCGGTAAGAACGCAGGAGTCAAAGAGATTCGCGGTCTTGCACAGCTTTTCGACTGCATGGATGGGTTTCGACGCGGCGAAAGAAGCGGCACGAGTTTCGCAAGATTTAAGCGCGATCCTTTGTCCGGGAGGAGTAACGCCCGCGAGTTTCGTGGTCGTGTCGGAGAGTAGGCCGTAGGATATCCCCCTCGGCAAGGAAATTCCAAGTCCCCGAATCGCCGTAAGATCGGAACACGTCGTTATGGGTCCGCGCGCTCTTTCCTCTTCTCCTTGGTCCCCTCGTGGTTTGTTTCTCGAGCAGGGACAGGAGAGGCAGGAGCAGCATCAGCATCGGCATCAGCATCGGCATCGGCATCGGCATCGGTATCGGGGCGGAGGACCCGGTCCACGGGCAGAAGGAGGACGCGGTCGTAAATATTCGGGCGCCAAATAATGCCGGTTCCGAGCGAGAGCAAGCGACCACGACTGCTGCTCGACCCGTAATGAAGGACATCCTCGTTAATTAGTCAATAAATTATCCTTCGCGCTCACGACGCTCGTGCTCTCTTCTTCCCGTTCTCTCTTCCTCCCGGTCTTGTCCTTTTTGCCCGAGAGAGCTCAAGGGCCGCATACTTTACGACACCTATCTTGCGCGACAGCACGATGCATTTCTCACAATCAGGACCCTCGAAGACGGAAACGCGTCTTGTAAGACGATCCACGAGGTGGTCCACCGCTGGCTTTCAGCCACGATGAATTTTTCAACGACCGTTTCGTCCTGCTCTCTCTCTCTCTCTCTCTCTCTTTTTTCTCTTTACACTTCTCCACCCCACAATGCTACTACCGACAGTTTTTATCTTCTACCCCCTTGTCCGCGTTTCCGACATCGCGTTGTGTATTTGGTAAGCGACGCGAGATTAACGTATGTACGCAAGTATATTTAACCAGTTTATTATTTTCCTAGCTAATCTATATATTTGTTTCTGTATTCGTGTCTGTTTCTCCTTTATATTGATTTTTTTTTATTATCTGCATTTGACATATAAGAGAAATAGGTCAGTTAAGAAAATTTAAGAACGTATATGGATCAATAGCATGATATTTATTCGTGTCTGTACATACAGCAAGAAATCCACAACAGGTGGACCCGAATGATGTCAATAATATTTCGTTCCGAGGAGTATAGATATTGTTCGATCGTATACGCGCCACGTGACCGTACATCAGCGTAACTATTTCCTGGCGTTGTACGGGTCTACCGGTTCGCACGATCGCGAACGACGACACGCGTGGCGAACCGACTAGCGCATCCGTGCGCTATGTTCGTGGCTCTCGACGCATCGGCGATAACTCATTGTCAGCGGCGCGACGTTCTCGCGGGCATCTCGATCTCTGGGATATACTTAAAGACGTCGTCGCGCTTTTCGAAGCGAACCTTCGCCGGTTGCCTTTCAACAATTTTAAGACGTACACGCTTCGTAAACTTCAGTTTACCGACCGGTGGAGGTTCTTTGAAATTACGAGGCGACGTTCCACCAAGAGCGAACGATTGCGCGCCAGTTTTAAACCGACGACGCGTCGACGAAAGCCGTGTTTCGATGGGTCTCGAAGATTCCAAACACGTAGCCGTACGCGTGGCCGGGCGTTGGGAAGAGATCGCTGTGGGCCTCCATCAGATGGGCGCGAAGCTCCTTCGCGAAATTCGTCTGGAACCGATTTTGGTTGTCCGGCCGACAGACATCGCACTCGTAGATGGTCTTGCCCGGATGGAGGCTCGTGGACAACACGTGTTTCCTCAAGTTCTCCTGTAACAGAGAAACGGCAAAACGGGTGCGTGAGTCGGATGGACAGACGGATGCGGTTCGGCGCGTCAAAGCACCGGGAAACGTTCGATGCAAAGACTGCGGTTAGCTGGTTTCGGACTGAGTCAGAGGCGCGGTGTTAAGGAAAGGGTTTTGCTGGTATCGGTCGACGGTGAATACCTGCAACCAGAATCGGTCTGCCGCAAACCGGACGCGTTCATTGGCTATGCTATGGAGCATTTAAAGGCGCTTTACCCTCTCGGGCTAAGTAGTTGGCCGTAGTCGTAAACATCTTCCTACCAGGCGGGCTTATACGAGCCGTTGATGGCAACGGCAACATCAAATTTAATTTCCCATAAGTAAATCTTTCTGCACGGGCAGCGCTCCGTGACGGTCTCAGATAAAGACCCGTTCACACCGTCATGGGCGGTCGTCCACCTTTTACGCGAAACCGCGGAAAGTGTGCGCCGTCACGCGAACCGCGTATACAAACTTTCGTTAATCCAATCGATTCCGATTTCTTCGGATATAATTTTCTGTTATATATCGAGAGCTACTATCCGTAGAATATTTCGTTTTACGAGGCTTCGGTCTAAGATCTCGAATCGCGCCGCTTTATCTTCTTTCTACTTTATTTCTTTCGAGATTCCAGCCAGTCTGAGATATAATTAATTTCTTTCTACCGCGTTGTAACTGTGTAGAAGTAAACGTTCCCACAACACACACGCGTGTAGCGCTTGCACGAAAATTACCGAACGCAGCGATAAGTCTGCAATTCTCTCGTTCACTCGCTAACCGAAGACGATCGTAAAATTACAAGCGTGAATTGCCGGGATCTTTAACCCAGATCAAGATTTTATCGATCCGATACCGAATGGGTTACCACTTTTTACTCGGCCAACAAATAAATTCTGGCGAAACGCTTATCCCGTTACGAGGTAAATTTTCATTCGAGATATGAATAAATCGATCGTATCGCATCGCATCGAATCGCCCACCTACCAGACGCTTGGATAAGCAGAAATTATTAAATCTGTATTATTTGGGCTCGACGATGCTTAATCGCGAGGCGGGCACGGGGGCTCGTCTAGTCGGGAAGAAAATTGAAGAGGGAGATAAAAAGCTGGAACAGCAGGGGAGAAGATGCGTGGAAACGTTGAGCAGTTCCGAAAGTAACTAGCTTTGCCTTAGAGAATTACCACTCCGACGCGACGCGAGGCAACGCGATGAAACGAAGCGTAAGTTTTCCAAGCGTTACCGCCACGGGAGAGACGGGAGGAGACGAGACGACGAGAAACAGAAGGGAAAGCTAGATACGGAAAAGAAGTGTGTAACCATCCGAGGTAAATCATAAACTGGATGGAGGTAGGAAGTAAGAAAGGTGGCGCGTGTAATCTTGTTGACGCAAGGCAAGCCGCTCGCTACGTGGAAGGAAATTTCGTCGTTAAATCGGCTCGCGCGATCCTTTCTTATTAAAGTCTTACCAGCGAGTAAACGACTATCGTCGATATTGCCTTCGGACTAAAACGATTCTTATCCGCGCGTCAGATTTTTCACCCCCGCTTTTAGACTCCGCTCTACTTACGTATCTACGATACATACATACGTAAGCTCGGTTGTCGCGCGCCGAGAACGGATTTAATCGTATCGCCGATCGAAATTGTTATCACGGCCAATCGGCTGCGCGAGCGAACTGAAGCGATTAAAACCAAGCTAGAAGCCGGGTCGTTTTTCCTTCCAACGAATGCGACGCGGTGCAATTCAGAAGTGCCTACCGTTGTATCATTACCGATGCAAGACGTACCATTGGCAATTCACCGGTACCGCGAGATTACCACAGCTCAAGTTATCCGAAAGGCTTGAGAGCCACTGGAATGAGTTTATGTCGCTATCAAAGAGACACGGAGCCCTCGTATGCGAGTCGCATCCTAACTAAAGCTTCAAAGGGCATTAGCATACCGGCCGCTCGGTATGACTGGGCCGTGCGTGTGTGGGCATCCAGTGAGCACAATTAACTCGTTATCTTATCGCGCCTCTCGGTGGCGGCAGAGGCGGCGGCATGGTCCAAACGTTAAGGTGTACTTTGCTTAATTTACGCCGCGGAGTCACTGCGGGTACAAAAATTGAACTGCGAGTCAAGTCGAACTTCCATCCCGCCCCGGAGTCGCCAACAGACCGGAACATAAAACTGATCCTTCCGTTGGACTCGTCCTGGCCGACGCGGCATGTTTGATTAACTCGCAGCTCAACTCAATCCGAAGCGATTCGTCTTTCTAGGATCCGGACGCTTACTTACCAAATTGTTGCTCGCGTAACTGCAATGACGGCATTGGTAAGGTTTGGTGCCAGTATGGAGACGTATGTGACGCTGCAAATGAGAATCGAGCTTCGTTCTGAAGGTGCACTCACTGTAAGGACACGCGTGTAATTCTGCTTTCGCGTCGTTTTCTTCGTTGTGAAGAGAAGCATGATGCCTGTAACAAGAAAATTTGTGATTTCTTTCGACAATAATCATTTCATCTTTAAATATGAACAAGTTCGAATGCGAAGAGTAAAATACGCGAAATTTAAGGTTTACAGTACGTTCATCGTGTCCCAGCCGGTCCGGTGATTATGAACGATCCGATATGCGTGCGCGATATTATGAGCCAGCCACTGGCCATGGCTACGTGTATATCAGGTTCGAAATGCGTGACACGTTTAATTAAAATCTTCTGTGATTTACTCCGCCGCACAGAGCGAAACCAAAAGAGACGGAAAGAGGCACGGATCCGAACGGAGAGGGATAGGCGACGGTACGGGACAACGAGGAAAAAGAGAACGAAAGAGATACATGGGACGGGAAGGAAGAGAGAGGTGAATAGGTAGGCAGAGAACGAGAGAAAAAGGGAAAGAGGATGTAGCTAGAGATGGGAGTTTTAGCGGGAGGTGTGCAGAGAACGCGGAGGTGGATGAGAAAGAGAGCCCGTGACACTCTGCGGCTGCGTTGAGTTCGACTCACGTAGTAAGTACTCAATTCGCGATGAAATATCGCGCCGACCATCGCCATGCGGACGATCATAACGGGTTGCCCGCACTTGGCCGACTGCTGCACGCAACTTCCGCTTTCGTCCCTCTTTCTCCCTCCCTCTTTTTTACTTTTTCCTTCTCCGTCTCTCGCTGTTCGTCACCGTTTTTCATAGCTATCGTATTCCCTCCTTTCTCTACCGTTTGGTTACTCATTTGGTGAAAGAAAAAAGGCGAGAAAGAGCGAAAAAACGAGTAGCGAATCAAACGAGATGAAATTTATTAGCGGCTGTACGCGATACAATGTCCTTAATAAGGCTTAATGCAAGTCGAATCGTGTAATCTACGGTAAACACGGGTTTTTTGATATTTGCGTTCAACCATCTGTCCATGCGGACGATTAAAAATGAATTAATACGTCAATTAAAATTTACAACTCGGATAAAATTAATTAAGAGGAAACTAAAATGATATTGACCTCAGGCCTCCTGTTTAAACCAATTAACGGTTACACGCACGTGAACTGTCCATCTTTTCTCATAATCTTTGCGGATCATTACGAAAGAAAAGAAAATATTTTTAAAGGTAATATTGCGAAACCAAATTAATTGATGATTATATCGAAAATTAATTTCAAATACTTCGCTGCTCCATTTTCTTAATATTACAAATATTAGTAATGGAATAAATGTTCCAATCATAGAGGTCGATACATATCTCCAAGCTTAAAGTATTACACTACGCCCATCGCAATTAATTTTCCACTTCCTCAAAGACATCGATCACGCGGTGTATGTACGCAATTCACGAGCACGATGTACGGGGCGTAGGTTTGCGCTGTTCTCGACAGGAATCTCAATTAAAATTAATGTCAATAATAATTGGTAATACAAGGAGTCGAGGTCGGTCCCAATGTTTTCCTTCATAGACGATATGAACATGTTTAAAGCAGTAAAAAAAAATTGACTTCATCTACGCCATTTCCCGACGAATTTTTATGAGTTATCAAACAGTCTATGTTATATAAATATGTTATTTATGCGCAATTGACTATTTGAGATTCCGGTTATCCGTTTATCAATATATGTACACATACTGCTACTGCTATCGAAGAAACATACGTATGTCTATTAATCCTATTCATGTCATATTGCAACCCCTGTATGCAGTTTCATTTTATACAGATACTCATTTTAGAATTTTTTGTTACTCGGCCAATAGTAAAAAAGAGTATCTGTTTACTAAAGCAAATAAATGTCTCCTTGAGCAAATAGCGATATCGAGTGAATCTTTACGTACCTCCGCAGTTGTGTCTTCGTCTTGGCAGCATAAGTGCAGTCCGAACACTTGTACCGTCTACTGGATACCGAGTTCTCGTGCACCAGGCTTCTGTGCGATTTCAATTCGGAGGCTGTTCGTAGTACCGTTGGACAGCCCGGAAGTCCGCACTTGTACTTCTTCCCTGCGTGTCGCAAGATGTGCTGTCTCAGTGCGTGTCTGGAAAGGAAAAAGGCGCATTGGAAAACGATCTTTCCTAATCCCTTGAACCAGTGTCGGCGGACATTCGTATAATTTTTTTCATACCGGTATTCGGTTTGATATCGGATCGGTCGACGGGACGCAACGTTACGGAGAATAATGATTTCGCGATTTAAAGGGACGCGTTTTCGTTATATTCAACGCGTAATAAGACAGCACAATGGCCCGGCGACGTGCACTGTACGCGTGTGACCATCGGCTCGTTCGCACGCCGTACGATCCGATCGCAGCTGTTGCGTCTTATATCAACCTGCCGGCGAGCGCACATAAAAGCTGCACTTTAAATAGTTTCTGTCAGTAGGTGACGATCTATACGGTTAGTGAACTTACTCCCGGACCATCTCGCATTCCTGCTCTAGTTTTCGCCTGATCTGCTCGATTTTCTGGCTCGTGAATCGAACACGAAAATTGGTGAACAGGTGGAGCATAATGGAATAGGAAAGAGAACAACGAGCGGTATGAAAGGCACGGATTAATACCGGCATTTTTCGATACGGTATAGAACTAAGCGAAAGCTCGTCGATGTTATCGAAATCGGCAGCAAATTTCCGAACGTGGTAGCCACGATCTTCGCGTACGTATCTCTCGGGCCTGTCTCGAGATCTTTGCGAGCCACCGTGGTCACCGTGCGGGAAACCTACCGCGGTAGCAGAGCGAAGGACACGGATTTTTCGAGATGGCAGCTCGACGATACCGGCAGCGAACTCTCTCCACGGGCACGGGCGCGCAGCGGATCGGTGAGCGGACGTGGACGAAGGACGGGGAATCGAAGAAGAAAATCGACGAAAAAGGGACACGAGAGAAGAGAAGAGATGCGAAGAGAAGAGGAGAGTAAGGAAGGAAGGAAAGAAGGGACAGAGACGAAGAGACGGCATAAGCAGAAGAGGCCTACGAGATCTGGGCCGTCCTAGAGGGAGTCTCGGCCTACCCAATTGGCTACGCAAGTGTAACGGCAACTTTTACAATGTCAGGATATACACGCCCTCGCACGAGCTTACGATGTACCTTCTCTTTACACCTGCACTCAGGTAGCCTTTGCAAGTATGCACGTTCCTGTGTCACCCGCTAGCTGTGCACCCACGACACTCGACTCCCTACTCCTGTTATTCGTCTCCTTTTTCCTTTCGCGACCTCCTGCATGCCCTATTCGTGTTACTTTTTAGCCCACTTAAAACGGCTACTGGTAAATGACAAAAAGGTGACAAGTTACTCGATTTCAAATCGATATGTGTATGTATAAACCCAACGAGACTTTCGTCCTCCGTGAATGCGTGGAAAAAAAAGAACATTGGTATTCCACGAATTCAACGAAAAAGTTGCGTTAAATACCGGTCCGATGAACGCTAACGACGAACACGGCCCGAACGCGGCAAACCCGCGTAATTGCCGTGAATTATGACGTCCAAGGTATTCAGCGACATGACTTTTCCGGTGGATTTGCAACTGGATAAAAATAGAAAGTATTATATGCAGTTGCGTTTTCTCATGCGTTTAAATTCCGCACGGAACCACCTTCGCTCATTGAATAATACTCTGGAGATCTACACGAGTACACCTAACTAAGAAACCGTTGACGTTCATCACGGTTCAGTTCAACTTCGTTGAACAGTTATTAGCCTAAGAATCTATCGGAACGACGCTGATGCGGGGACCGCGACGAGGAACGCGACATCGTCCCGTGAATTATAGCATTGGGAAACGTTGTGTTGCCGGCCCACTCCGAAGGCTGGAATTCCGATAGAACAATATTAATATGGTGGCCGACAAAAGCGCGTCTCGCGGCGACCACGTTGTTGACGAAAGAGGGATAGAGGAGGGTTAAATCAGGGAAAGGTAGAAGACACGTCGCGCCGCGTCGTTCTCGGCGTGTGTTTCGGTGGAATGTCGCAGGCGTGACAAGAGGCCGTTAAGAAGAGTCTCGGTCCGATTGGGTAAGCGGATGCGGTCACTCCGGATGATTTAGCGCGACGTCCACCGTCATCTCGTGAAATATGCGCCGGCCCGGCTCGAGGTCATTTAAAAGTCTAATCCGCGGTGGTACGATCGTCGTTATATTCGTCGATAACGTCCACGATGCGTCGCGACAGAAGCTTGCGAATCTATGCGGACAGATAATGGTGTACAATAGTATCTGTGTGGGTGCGGATGGAAACTTGATGATTATCGATGTTCATCCTCGTTATTCGATTGACTCGATTTAGTCTTCAACTGATCATTGATATGATGCAAATCATTGCGTCTCTCTTGAGATAGAAATTATAAGAAGTTACGATGGGAATTATCTATTTAATTTAATTATTTGCATATTTTCAAGTATTGTGTAAAATTAAATGGAACAAATAAACGGTGACGAGAAGGCTGACGAAACGGATTAAAAATTCGGTTTTGTTCGCAAGCGTGAAGTTAGATGGGATATAGCGGAGATGTACAGGTTAATACAGAACCCGGATCGTTCTGGGATGGGAATGGCGGAGCCGGTGAGACGATCGTGTACTATCTAAGAGGAGGGAAGCGGATGAGAGCGAGCGAGCACGGGCATTAATTAAAAAGGTTGCGCATTAAAATGATTTGTTTTAATTGGCTGAACGCGCTGAGGTATTTATGGCCTCGCGGTCCTTCGCTCGGTCTGTCGGTCTGCGGCCTCTACAACGAACGTCGACTCGGACTTCTCCTTCTCTTCCTCCTTACACCCGATTCCCCCTTCCTCGGGCTTTCTCAGCTCGTCTACACTCTTCGCCTTTCTCGCCTTTCTCACCTTACACGCATACTGACGTCTTTCCTTGCCTTTACCAAGTCCTTCGTGGCCTAGTCCCCTCCGCCCCTGACCTCTTCGATTATCTCGAAATCGGACGATCGTTCATTCCGTCTAGCCAGGAGAGAGAGAGAGAGAGAGAGAGAGAGAGAGAGAGAGAGAGAGCTAAAAGCCGATTCTCTTCAGCGGCGGTGGAGAACCGAGGGCGATTCATAAATATCGTGCCACGACAAGTGGATCTTTATTACCACGAATGATTTACGCGCAACTCTGCCTCGCTCTTTCTTCGACTCTGTCACCGACGTATCTCCGTTCAGAGCTCCGACTAGCCTGCTAGTCCAAAAGAAGTATCGGCCGTGTCCGTAATTTACGAATTTTCACCCTTCCTCCAACGCCTTTCTCTCAGGATTTATTCTCCTCCCGCTCGTCGTACGTCGTCGACTTAAAAACAGGACCCAGTTCTGGGCCGCGTCCAACTATGCTCGTCGCGTAACCGGCGAACTGGTCCGCGAAAAGCGAGCTCGCTTGCGCGATGCGGATCAACGGCGAGGAACAGTTAAAAAGTAAATACTCGGCGAGCCTGAGGCATGAGTTCTCGAGAGCCGGCCGCGGTGGGTGGAATCAACGTTTCCAGCGGACGATGGTTAAGGTGGGATCGTGATGGGCCGTGATGGTGGTGTGGCCGTGGAACGATGCCGAAGAGGAGGCAGGACCAAAGTGAACCGAAGGTGATGCATGGCCGACGGTTTCTACGGCGGGGCCGCAGACGAAGAAATAAAGAATAAGAAGAATATCCGCTTCGTCGGGTCCAGAGCCGGCCCCCTGGAGCAAACGCTGTCATAACTCAATCCCACCTTCGTCCGTTCGTACGTCCGTATGTCCGTCCCGTACCGGTGCAGGTTGCACCTGCGTCCGTCTCGCTTTTTCTTCGACTCCTCTTCTTGCATCGGCTCCTCTCTCTCTGTCGTTCTCTACCGTCTCTTTCGTAGCTCAATCTTGATCATGGCGAGATATTATACCTCCTCGATGTAAAGTCATCGAGAGATCTTTTTCATTGCTCGTTAGATTCCATCGAGATCTTGCTAAGCTACAGCTTTTTCGTGTTCGTGTAACGCATCTACCGATGTTGGTAGTGGTACCCCGTATCCCGCGAAACGTGTGCGCCGCGACGAACGCAGAGACGGAAAGTAGCTACATATATACATGTAATCGTTATAGATTCTGGACTGGAGCGCAGCTTTTTTTCGGTATATACGGAATTCCTCCTGTTCCACTGCATTCCCATAAACAGTTTTTTGCTGAACACGCACACGTCGCGATGGACCGCGGGGACCACCGACGTTTCCCACTTGTCGTCGAGTTAACGTCGATTTCGGCCGGAACGAATTCCGTCCGCGCGCTTGTTTCGTCAGCGTAACTAAGATCGATCCGGGAACCGGTTTAAGAAGTGATTCACGCGTTACTTAAACGGCATAAATTGTTCGATTCCAGCCGAGATAGAAGCTCGCAAGACGAATCGCGGTTTTAATTATAGATTCTTCAAATTTATGTAAACAAGGGGATAAATTATACGAGAGGAAACGGTTCGATTCTCTCTCGAGAGAAAGAGAGATTTGTGACGCGGCCGGAGAGGTTCAGTTAAAATCGATCGATCCTGTACTCTCGATCCTCTCAACCCTTCGGGCGATAAATCTTTCCGGAGGAGAGGCCGGTCAAAGCGGGCACTCGATCGTGCATCGTTCGGATTTAGCGCGAATGGAAACGCAAATCGGAACAAACGATCGAACGAGCAAACGTCAAGCCCTCGACCCCGAAAAGCCAGCTTCATTAACGCGTACGTGACCGCGCGTCAAAATAAGTTCAAATTAACTCGCGATTCCCAATCAAAGACAGACCAGCGACGACAAATAAAACGGAATTTCGTTTTCTGTCGACCACCAGGGAGTGGTTTGCTAGTCCCGCATTTGGCGCTGATGCCATAAGTCGACGAGAGTAAAAGAGAAAACACTGAGACAGAACGAGAGGCGGACGGAAGCAGTGGAAGTGCGAGAGAGAGAGAGAGAGAGAGAGAGCAGAGAGCGAAAGGGACATAGGAACTGGAAAAGGAAATGGGATAGAGCGAGAGATTCTAGCTGCCGCGTCAGGGAGATTAGGGGATCGTAGGGTTGGTTGTTGCCGGTGGAGCCAACGTGGGCGCAGGGAGCGA